TGACTAAAAATAAAAAATTATTATAATCAATAATAATAATAATAATAATAATAATAATAATAATAATAATAATAATAATAATAATAATAAATAACTTTTTTACTATACGGTTATTTACAACATTGATTTTATCAATTGTAATGGTAGACATTTACCAATGGAAAGTCGGTTGGTATTGATTAAAACTTTTACCAACGAAAACTCCGTTGGTAAAAGATTCACACTTTACCAACGGAAAATCCGTCGGTAAAATGTTTACTCTTTACCTACGGTATGATCCGTTGATAACTATCAGCGACCCTCAAATTACCAACGGATTTGTGGTTGCAAATATTCTGTTGGTGAAGATTATTAGTAACGGATATTGAGGCTTTAGGAACGGAAAATCTGTGCCTGAAACTCTGTTTTTTAGTAGTGGAATAACACCCCAGTAAAAAAAATTTCAAATTCATTTTTTCGTAAAACTGCAAAACCCATATGTCAAAACAAACAACAATTTTCTGATACGATCAAATTGAAAAATCCAACAATTTTCCTCTACTTGATTGACAGCAGAATAAGCTGAGAGGAAGTTTATAAACCCAAAATGATTTTCAACAAGATCTGCGAGAATCCATGGTTACATATCACTTGTACAAAATATATGTACCATAAATACAAACAGATATATAATATCTAAATGTCAAAAACGAACTTGGAACAAAAAAGAAAAAAAGAAGAAGCTCCCCATAGACCCGAGTTTTCCTCAAACTATGCTTTAATCCGATCCTGCACCAACTCCAACCTCTTTGAAAAAACCTCCAATTCCAACATTTGCTGCTTCCTTCATTTCTCATCAGTGAACCTCTCCCTACCTATCAGTCCACTAAAGCCTAAAGGCATAGTGTTGGGAATTTACAGTTGATTTTTAAAAAGATTTGAAATCAAATCAAACATCACACACAAAGAATCATAAAACGAACACAAGAACACCAAAAATATTGACCAAGTTCAACAAAAATAGGTGTAATTTGGGGGGCTCAGGGACAGCCCGTTTCATTATGGCACAATCTACCGTCCAAGAGAGTAAGAGTACATCAAGAACCACTCAAACCACAAGGTTTCACTCACTGATCGAATCGATCTCATGAAACATTCTGAAATTAACTAAACAAATCAACCAAACATCTCTAGAGTTTAACAATACAAGATCAGCCAATATCTCAGGCCTGACTGTACACAAGACCTACAAACTCCATTTGATCAATCATAGAAACCTTACAAATAGAGAAGAAAAATTTCAGACCCAAAAAGACGTAGAAGAGAGAAAACCAGAAGAGAGAAGATGAAAAATCTGAAGTATCAAAAAGTCTCGTAACTTTTGTCCAAGAAAAGAACGCTTCATTTTCCAAGGCATCTTCTCAACCTTTGATTAAATCCAACGGTCCAGAAAGGGTCTAAACTAGCGCAGTCCGAGTGAACATCAATCGGCCAACCAATATATGCCAATTAGGCAGGTTCATTTAAATAGGCGAAATAGACCGATTGACAGAAATAGCACTCTTTTAGAGTGTTTTTAAAAACACAAATTTTCACATTTTTCACCTTGATTCTCAAATACACTCGCTCTCTGATTGCTGAAAGTGCCCCGTGGAACTGCTTTCCATCATCATTGCCCTAAGACTTGCAAAAGAAAATTAACTTGTGTCGATATGAAGTAAGGATAAACACATTTTAAACTTACTTACAGGCAAAACTTTGGTCCCCATATGAGAATGATTTTTATCGGTATGAACTTTAGTCAATTTAACTTTTCCTTGAGATAGTTGTTCTCTTATAAAATGATATGCCACCTCAATATGTTTTGATCTTTCATTACTAAGTAATAGAGCACTCTAGCTATCAGTATATATAATAGAAGTATCATTCATAACGTTCAGTTCTTTTAAAAGTTTTCCTTAACGAAATACATTCTTTCGTAGCTTCAGTTATGGCTACATACTCAACTTCCGTGCTGGACAATGTAACCAATGGGTGCAATTGAGATTTCCAATTTATGCAATTTTTCCCAAGAGTAAAAAAATAAGTTGTTGTTGACTTCCTACTGTCTTTATCATCCGCAAAGTCAGCATCTACATAACCTTTTAGTGTTACATTTTCAGATCTTTTCTCATACACTAGTCTCAGATTTATTGTACCAACAATATATCTAAGTAACCATTTCATTTCGGCCTAATGAGGCTTGCCAGGGTTGGACATAAATCTGCTTAAGAATCTGATTGCATAAGCAAGGTCAGGTCTGGTGGTTATCATTGAAAAGATAACAGAGCCTATTTCATTTGCATAGGGTATGTTTTCCATTTCCTTTACTTCTTCAGATTTAGGGGACTGAGATTTAGATAGGTTCACGTGGGCTGCAAGGGGTATATTAACAGCTTTACTATCTTTCATTCCAAACCTGGTTACTACTTTGTTTAGATATAGTTCTTATGTAACTGTTAGCCTATTCCTAGGATTTTTCTAGCACATCCTAAGTCTTTCGTACCAAATTCAGATTTCAAAAAATCTTTTAATCTTGTAATTTGAGACTTATCAGGACTGGCCAGAAGCATATCATCCACATACACTAGTAAGTAAACTTCACCACTACTTTTCAGGTTGTTATAGTACAAGCAAGCATCAAATTTACTTCTTAATACATATGCATCAAACCTTTTATACCATTGTCTAGGACTTTGTTTCTATCCATATGATGATTTTTCAAGTTTTCATCATAATCAATCTTGCCCTTAATCTCAAAACCTTGAGGTTGAGTCATGAAGATATCCTCTTCTGATTCTCCATGGAAGAATACGGTTTTCACATCAAGTTGTTCAAGTTCCCAATTATATTAGACAATTAGTGCTTGTATCAATCTGATGATTTTATATTTGATTACGGGTAAGAATATCTCATTGTAATCAACCTCTTCTTTCTAAGTATACGCCTTTGCCACTAGTCTAGTCTTAAATCTAACAAGATTAGTCGGGCTATTACTCTCTTTAATTTTGTAAACCCATTTACATTGTACTACCCTATGATCTTTAGGTTTTCTAACAAGCTTCCAAGTTTTATTTTCATTTAAGGACTGTATCTCCCCTCTCACAGCCTTTATCCAATTTTCAGAAATTTTCCCATGAATTGCTTCTTCATAAGAGGCAAGTTCAGCTTGTTCTATTTTTTCTTTAAAGACTAAGGCAAAGTCTGTCAAATTTAATAGTTCATACATAGGATTAGGTCTAGGTTATCTTCTTGCTCTATCCTTAATGATTTGACAATCTTGAATATCAGTATGTTCAGTAATTTGTTCAGGTTCTTCAAGTTCAACCTCAATTTGAGGTTCATTAGCTTCTACACATTCAGGAACAGGCTCATTCTGATGATGAACAGTACTATTTTCATCATCTTTAGGTTGAGGTAAGTTAAATTTAGTTAACTTCACCTCACTCTGAATTGTCTTGTTATTTTCAAATTCATTTGTTCCTTTAAATTCTTGTTTTAGGCATGAAATTTCTAATTCATTGAAGATTACATCTCTTTTATTGATAATCTTAATGCCTGGAACACCGAAAACCCACAACCTGAAGCCTTTAACACTTTCTGGATATCCTAGCATCACACATTTGGTGGCTATGGGTTCCAATTTTCCTTCAGATTGAAGTGCATATACTGCACATCCAAAATCTCTTATATGGGTTAAGTTTTGGGGTTCACCTATCCACAGTTCTTGTTAGGTTTTGAAGTCTACACTATTAGAAAATGATCTATTAATCAAATAGACTGCCATATAGGCAGCTTCAGCCCAAAACTTTAGCCAGACCAGAACTGATAAGCATGCATCTAACCTTATTCATTATAGTCCTGCTCATTCTCCCAGCTACCTTATTTTGTTAGGGTGTGTATTTCACAGTCCTATGCCTCAATATCCCTTTCTGCTTATTCTGCATTACAGAACTCTAGCCTATTATCAGTTCTTAGGGTTTTTAGTTTTTTCTCTAATTGATTTTCAACAATTCTTAGCCATGTCCTGAACTTCTGAAAGGTTTCTGACTTAGCCTTTAAGGGATAAATCCAAACCTTCCTAGAATAATCATCTACGAGGGATAAGAAATACTTACTTCTACTAAAAGTAGAATGCTTTTCAGGACTCTAGAGATCAGCATGTACATAGTCTAAGGGCCTATTGGTTCCATGTGAGCTGGATTCAAAACTAATTTTGTTGGACTTACCCAACACACAAGTCTCACAAAAGTCTACGGGCTCAATGTCATCGTTTCTAAGTAATTTTTGATTAATTAAAGATTTTAGCCCTTTATTTCCAGTGTGTCCCATTCTATTGTGCCAAAGACCAGATTTATCTTCATTTACAGTTAGTACACTTGAATAAGGCGATATAACTATTTTTCCCTCTAGATAGTATAAACCATTTCTTTTAGGTCCTTTCATCACAACTAAAGAGCCCTTCATAATTTTCAGAGTTTTATTATCAAATTTAAAGGTATATCCCTCATATTCAAGTATCCCTAGTGAAATAAGGCTCCTTTTCAGATTTGGGATATATATCTCACATTTTTTATTGATTTGACAATGCCATCAAACATTTTTATAGCAATGTCACCGGTGCCCATCATAGTCTGGGAATTATTATCTCCCATATACACTTTTCCTAGTTCTATTTCATTGTAATTATAAAACCATGTTTTCTCAGGGCACATATGAAAGGTATATCTAGTATCTAGAATCCAATCTTTACTAGAGTTTTCAGTTGACACATTTATTACATGTAGACTGTCCAATTTAGACATTGGCTGCATTATTCTGATCATTATTGTTCCAATCTTTTTGTTTCTTTTTCCAGCTAAAAGAATCCCTCTTGAAGTGTCCCGACTTTCCATAGTTATAACAATTCTTATTACTTCTATCTTTGGATTTAGATCTTCCCATTCCCTTTTTGTTTTGGAAATTAAATTCTTTCTTTTCAATTATTCCCTTACAAATAAGCTTCCTTCTCTTGAGTTGGTTCTATTTTCTCTACTCACATCTAACTCTCTTGACCTTAAGGCATCTATCACAATTACTTGTGTAAGTGTGTCCCTAGCATATTTTATGACATTCTTAACATCTTTATAAGATTCAAGCAGTGAATTCAATATTATAACAGCCAAGTCCTCATCTTCAAATTTTTTATTATTTTGTGCAAGACTTTTAACAATTATGCTGAAGTCACTTAAATTGACTTCCAAATCCTTTTCTGGGTCCTTTTTGAAACTGAATAGTTTTTCTAACAAATATATCTTGTTAGGAAGAGTCTTGGTTTAAAACAAACCATCCAAGGCATTCTAGAAAGTTCTTGTAGTTTTGGAATCATCAACTTGTCTAACCACATTATCAGATAAATGCAAAATTATAGAGCTATAGGTAATTTCATTCATTTCTTCAATTTTAGCAGGTTTTCCTTTTAACTCAGCAGAAAAAGTTTTAGGATCATGGAGAGCCTTTGCAACCCTATGGTGGACCAAGATGGCTCCCATTTTCTGCTTCCATATAGAGTAATCCCCATTTCCATTGAATTGGGACAATCTGACCTTCGAACCCATTATAGATTTTGTAAAAGAGTGGCTTAAACTCATGGATTTTGCAGAAAAGGTTTTTGAAATTTTTTTTATAGTAAATAGTTTCAAGAAACCAAAGTTCCAAAAAACTTTTCAGATATTGAGCAAGTATTCGACAGTATATCTTTATATCAGTTTAATCAGATATACAAGAACTCCAGTCAAATATATATCAAGGTACAAAACGGGCTCAATAGTAGATTGTAGGCAGATTAAACAAGATATATGTATATTACTAAAACAACATATATCAATATATGCATGTATTCCAAACAATAAATGTCCAATCGAAATCACAAAGTATTATTGACAGATCGTACCAATACTGTCATGACAATAATATTGATACAATGCATGAAATCAAACCAACAACCAAATCCTCCGTTTGTCACCTTCGTTACTTTTACAAAAATAAACTGATTAGTAAACGAATTTAATGCCTAAATTTATAAAAAAAATAGACAAGATACCAAACTGTATGTGTGTAGATCTAAAAAGATCTACACAGATTGAAGAACCAAAATGACCCAGAAAAGATGTTTCACAAAAAAATATTGAACCCAGAAGCCTTGAGGCTCTGATACCAATTTTTTTGGGAATTTAGTGTTGATTTTTAAAAAGATTTGAAATAAAAACAAACATCACACTCAAAGAATCATAAAACGAACACAAGAATACCAATAATGTTGACCAAATTCAGCCAAAATAGGCCTAACCTGGGGGGCTCAGGGACAGGCCATTCTACTATGGCACAATCTACCATCCAAGAGAGCAAGAGTACACCAAGAACCATTCAAACCACAAGGTTTTACTCACTGATTGAATCAATGTCATGAAGCATACACAAATCTACCAAACAAATCAACCAAACATTTTCAGAGTTTAACAATAAAGATCAGCTAGTATCTCAAGCCTGATTGTACACAAGACCTATAAAATCTATTTGATCAATCACAGAAACCTTACAAATAGAGAAGAAGAATTTCAGACCCAAAAAGACAAAGAAGAGAGAACTAGAGGAGAGAAGATTAAAAATCTGAAGTATCACAAAGTCTTGTAACTTTTGGGCAAGAAAAAGGACGCTTCATTTTCCATGGTATCATCTCAACCCTTGATTAAATCTAACGATCCAGGAAGGGTCTAAACTAGCACAGTTCGAGTGACAATACTAAAATCTATAAAAAAAATATTTGCTCGTTAGGCAGGTTTATTTAAATAGGCGAAATAGACCAATAGACAGAAATAGAACTCTTTTAGAGTGTTTTGAGAAACACCATTTTTTGCGCATGGGAATCAAAACCAACCCGAACCCACGGCTTTCATACAATCCATTCCCTTTCAAATTCATAGAATTCCAAACAACTCATTGAAAATTCATCATTAATTTCATTATTCATCATAGTTCACAAATGACAATACTAAATCTGTAAAAATACACTAAAAGCTAAAAAAAATAAATAAAAAAGAAAATGAAGGGCTCACATGGTACAGGCATCAATGAAACTTAAGGATAAGACAGTGGCGGAGAGATAGATGATGATGGAGAGCGAAAGTTCCGATAGTATCAATAGACGACAAGGCCAAGAACACAGATTAGTATGAAGAGAAGTGTCGATAGTATCACTATAAAATCTGAGTCAAGCAATTGATTATCCACTTGAGGTGACTCCTTCCCTGGTGGCGATTATGACGATGAGGCAACAACGGCTTATTTATGTTGCCAAGAAATCGTGACCGGAGTCATTTCCTCTGGAAGAGAGTGAGAGATGAGAGGATTTATTGCCTTGAACGAGGACAATTAGGCCAGTTTAAAATTTCTCCAAACGACATCATAATATTAGCTTGAACAATAGGAAATTGAGACGTGTGTTCGGAATGAACAGCGCCAAAGGGTTAGACACTTTTATATTGTAGTGATATATATTATACATAAGTACCATATGGAAGATTATTCTCTCCTATCCGCGGCCCATTCCATTGAAAAAAATACTTTTTGGCCACATTATTATCAACTCTCTCTACTAAACACTTTATTTCTCAACAAATGCACTCTCTCTCTCTCTCTACATATGCAAACATAAAATGAAGGCAATCATATTGAGCTCCCTTACCAAGAGGAGCTCTATAGTTGTTTCAACATCATCATATGTATTGCACTATAGCTTTTTGTCGAAATCAATTCAAGAGCAAAAAGTTGTCATCGACATCAGCAGCATTAACACCAGATTTGAAGTCCCTTGGGCTAATAATAATGCTACATTAACACCAGTTTTGATGACTCTATTCATAACTACGAATAATTATTGACATATTTCTTGATAATTTAAAATGTTGCTCTTTTTGGTGGTTTTTGCATTAGTTTTTTTTTCCCTCACGGTGAAGGGTGGTGGCAGCGGCAATGGAGGTTGAGATGTCATCGATTTTCGTGAATTTGAGGTGAATGTGAAAGTGGTTGTAGGTTGTAGATTTGAGGTAGTAACGATGATTTGGGTGGTGTCAATGGTGATGAAATAGGGTAGGGTGTGATGAAGAGTGATTGTAACTAGTTAATTTGATAATTTGTGACAAATAAAAGTGAGTAATTTACAACTAAATTTGTAATTATAATATACAAATTATATTTTTCTGATTGTGTGTTATTTGTGACTAATATGTGATTGTGACGGTAAATTATAATTTATTGACTTACTGTGATCGCGACCTATTTAATTTAATTACATGTTACCAATTTTATCAGATGTTACAAAATGTGATTGCATGATTTTTGCAAAAAATTTCATAATTTTGGAACCCCAAGAGAGTCTCTGTAAGAGAAAGAAAGTTGGAAGTGAGAGAAACAATTATCTTAATAGTTAAATGATTGTATATTATGATACGATATTGTTAACGGAAATATTGTAAATTAGACTAATATTCCTAAATTTCATTTACAATAATATTAGAAAAATATAATATATTAATATAATTTATCATCTAATTTTTGAAATATTTTTATAAGTTTGTTAAATAAGAAATTGAATAATTAAAGTATTGTAGTTATGTACTTTTTCTATAAAAATATCCTTAAATCAAGCATAAAAAATAGGAAAAATTGCAGTCAAGATACCAAACCTTTTGTTTGTTTGCAGACTTTGGCCAAACTTTTCATTTGTGCCACCGTGAGTACCAAACTTTTAAAAAATCTCACTTGGAGTCCAAATTGACAAAAATTGTTACTTTTTCCATTGATTGACCAAAAATTAAAGGCCTGACCATAGTTGACTAATTTTCAAGGGCAAAAAGGTAATGCTGCAATAATTAAATACAAATATAAAAAAATAAAATAGAAAAGGGAAGACCCTTCATCTTCCCCAACTCACAACCATCGGACCACTGCCGCCTTCCACCTTCAAATCCACCAATCATCATCGCCACCAAATCCATCGGCACCACCACTCCTTTTATAGATCTTGAGAAGGAAATGTAGAGTTTGAAATCTAGATTTTAGACATGGAAATAGTATTGCAGAGTTTTGTTAAGGAAGGCAAAGACAAAATTACACAATTCCTTCACTTTTCAATTGTAGCTCTTATTTCACCATATGAAGAATTTGTAGTATGGCGTTGAGATGGGTTTAAGATAGAAATTGATCCAATCATCTCTACCTCGGAAAGTTTCCGGATCTCCACCTTTGAAAGCTGCACCTATTTTCCCTCCCCTATTTGACTTCCAAAAGCCTCCTTATTATATCATCCAACACCCCTTCTATCCATCAGCCCTTCAGTTGTCATCATTTTTCCTTAATTTCCCCAAATTCTGAATCAAAACCAGAGATGGGTTTCCAAGAAAATTATGCATTTATGAGTTTATATTAGGATAAATGCTTGGGTTTTGATTGAAGGCGTTTATCCTTCTACGCAAAGATTCGATTGGTGATTGTTGGATGGTGATGCCAAGCAGGGTTGGAGATGAAGGTGGTGGGTGTCGGCGTTTTCATGCTCTTGGTTTTGGTTTTAGGAAGGGGTGGGGCGAGTAGAGAAGATAATATGATTTATTTATTTATTTATTTCTTTTTATTGTAGCTTTTTTGTATAAAAAAATGTAATCTTTTTGCTCTTGAAAATTAGTCAATAGTGGTCAGACCTTTAATTTTTGGTCAATCAATGGAAAAAGTAATGGTTTCTATCCAAGTACATATTTTTTAAAGGTTTGATACTCACGGTGGTACAAATGAAAGGTTTGGACAAAGTCTGCAAATAAATTAAAAGTTTGGTACCTTGACTGCAATTTTCCCTAAAAATAAGGGAATCTCATATAGGAAAGATATTCAAACAAGACTATTGAGGGAGTGAATCCAAGTTTTGAGCGAAGATCATCGGAATGGGGATGAGGTTGAATGCTTATTTTATTGTAATTGTCAATGTCGTAGAATATCAATATTTTTTTTTACATGTAATTATAAATCATAGATTACCTCAAGAAAAATGTGCATTATAGTCAATAAAGAATTATTCAAGAATCAAGATCATCAATGGGAAGGCCAGTGCAACCAATATATATCTCAATAAAAGAAAATATATAGAGGAAATATCAAGGCCATAATCAATATTTTCATTATTGAAAAATTTATCTAACAAAATTTTACCCCACACATTCTAACAGGCAGATCCATTATAGCAGCTATTGCAAATAACACCAATATTCAGTGAGAAACGATGAGACATATAATGGGCCTTTTGGGTTTATTTGCAATTTATATTGGTCGTATCTAGGGGCAAATCTAGGATTCAAGTTCAACTAGGGCAAATTGGAGAAATTTTTTTCTGATAAATCCCCCTTCATGACTTAAAGGAACAAGAAAAAATTGACAGCATTGGTGAAATTATTGGCGGATAAAAAATTTTTGGTGCACAGGACTAGATACACTTAACAATACTAGGACACATTTTTAGTTTTTTAGTTTTCTTTCTTAAGATCATCTGGTGACCGGTCAATCCAATCCACTC